ATCAACTTTTTTGTTAGTAATGACTTGTTTTAAGATCAGAAAAACAATCTTTTAACGAAATTTTTTTCAGTTTTAAATGCTTACACTTTTAACAAATGGTCCTTTTCATTTTTTATAATGTGAGAAAGTGCAAATCAACGGCCTTTTAGGGACAGTAACTATGTTATGGTAAAAGGAACGCACGGTAATTTCCAGTATCATTATATTTTTTGAATCTTTCTTACAGTTAAGTATAAGACAAAATCTGCATGAATTTCAAACAAAATTTTTTTTAATTAGAACAACGTGTTAATACACTACTTGCGGTGCTCTACTCAGTGAATTTCGGGTGAAGCCGAGATAGGAGGCTGCTAGTATTTACTTTTTAAGGATCAGAAATTCAATCAAATTTTACTTTTGCGTTCCTATGTTTAAAAGTACGGGACAATTAAAATGTCTTAAAAAAACACCTTCAAGGAAATTTCTTGAACGTAGCATATGCATAGTATACAACTATAAAATCCAAGAATCACTGTTAATGCAATACAAGAAAATATTTAAATGAAAAAACTAGAAACTGCCCCATTTATCAAGCAAAACTTACAAGAGAGACATTTACGGCGTCACATAAAAACATATCACAAAACACATTCAGAAGACAATAAAATTTGTTTGGAATATGGTAGTTTGAGCGAAAAATTTATCAAGAAGTCATCAACATATTTTTAAAAAAGTAAATAAAAAAATGTATAGCTTAATACTGGACAGTTAAAATATATTGAGATAGTTTAAAAAAACTTCTGTAACTTTTCGCATAATACAGATGAATCTATTTTATACCAAAAGTATGATTCAAATACGTAATTGTGTAATTGTCTTATAACTCACTGGTTTTCAAAAGCATTAAAATTAAAAAATCAAACATTGTTCTATCATTTTGTCGAAGATAGTTTTGAAATTCATAAATGTAAGGTAAAAAACTGTTTATAAGGTTTTATAAAATTCACGAATTTTATTTTTATCCGTCCAGTTAATGAAAGAAGTTGTTCATTAAACTTGATAATGTCAGAGGACTATCTTTAGGGGGTTGATTGCAATTTTTTCAAGGAGGTGGAGGCTCACTATTATATAAGGAAATTCATCACAAATATTCCATTTTTGTCCCCCGTTTTAATAAAAAAAATTTTTTTAAGGCACACCTTCCATATAGGGCTCATTTTACTCGTAATGCCATGTACTATGAAGAAAAAACTTTGAACACGAGGTTTAGTGAGGGTGACACCTTTTTTCCTCGATTTACGTATTAAAATTATATCTATATATGTGATAACTAAATATATGACTTTAACATGTCAAACGCGGAAAAAGGGTTGTATATTCTATCGTTATTAGCATAATGAAAAACTGCCTCAGATTTAATTGTGACATCAATCACTTACACAGCAAAGGGGAACCCTTATTTTACATGGCTTCTGATTCACTGGACCATGGTTGGAATACGCACATGAGGAAGTAGATTCTCAGAAGTGCAAGCCAAGTGAGTAAAGGCCGGGTCTCAAACTCGTGAGCATGTGTTAGTAAGCCCCCAAGTTACAAGAACTGCAGCCTAAACCACTAGGCTTCCGTGGCCGGTGAAAAAAAAAAAATAATGATGCTGAAATTGCAGTGCGTTCCTTACGCCATAAATAATTGTTGGCCTTAAAGAGCCATTAATTCGCACTTTCTCACGTTATGATAAATGAAATAGACTATTCATTAAAAATGTAAAGATTTAAAACTAACAAAAAATATACAATTAAAAAATTTTTTTTCTCTTATCTCACAACCTTAAACCAGATCAACAAAGTCCTGAAACTTAATCTCTTCATTTTTTTAGCGTTTCAATGAATGTAAATACATACTATTCTACCTATTTAAGAATCCAGAAAATTTAGGTTACTGTCAAGGTTTGAATGGAAAGCTGATCTCTCACGTGATGAATTCTTTATTTGTCGATTTTGACGCTGCTGCTTCAATCTTGATGCCTACAATTGTATACATTTAAAGCACTGGAAGTTTTCCTTTCAATTAGCCTTCTTGCGACTATAGGCATGGTTATAACTTTTGTGAGCCCTAAAGGCTTCAATCAATTTTCTGAATTTGTGAAATATTTGTTGGCAAGGTAGTTCGACGTTCGATGATCCTAAACAGAACTTTCTTGACTGAAGTTTCCAGCAAACGTGACTGCCTCTATATCTCAGGATGATATTCTCTGGCCTGCTATTGTACCACCAGACTGATCAGAAGGAAAACTACAACGTCTGAAGCATTGGCGCTAGTTGTAGAGTTCTTTCCCAACGTCTCCTGGTGTTACGCTGAAGACCTTGATGCCTAAGGCATCTTCTTTTTTTGCAGAGCTCAGTCATTTTTATGACCCAAGGTGGAGATTGGTTGGTGTTGCTTGCCTACTGAAGACTGTCCCGTTTGCTTAAATTTACTTTTCCTTTATAGCTTCACCGTATGGTTCACGCAGACCTCGGAAAGTATCAGCGATTGCTGGTTAAATGCTAAGAGTTTAATGCAAGGTTGTCGATAATCAGGGTATCCAGCTTTGCGATAAAATATTCCTGTCGTGACGTCTGTCCGTGAATGACTGACTTGGTTTAACAGTGGCTGGCTTTATATTTTTTTAGTCGACGAATCGTTGGCAGAAACGGCAGTAAATATGTATTTATTGGCAAGGTAGATTAACGTTAGGTGGCCCTAAAAAGAACCCATGAGATTAATGGTTAAGTAGGAAACGTAAATACTTATGATGGCCCTAAAACGGCCAGTGGTGATACTTCAAGTCTTTTCTTATTATTATTCTCGATGATAAAGAGCTGGCTGCGGGTAGCTTGACTTGGAGTCTTTGCGCACGGTAACCGTTCTGAAGAAAGGTACGCCACTGGCCGAAGAATATCTCATCTTCGGGTCATTTTCCTGATAACCAACCGTTCACCGTTTTTCGGGAAAGTGGTCCTGGAGATACTTACTCTTTAAGTATGCCGTTGGGATGAACCACTTAAAAGGAGGCTGATAAAATTTCCAGCTGATTAGGCTGCTCGATTTCCTCAGGGTTGTTTTCCCTGGCTTGCTGATGTAGCAAAATCTGCTCTAGTAAAACCAGGTTGGTTAGAAGAATGACCACGTAATTCCTAATTGTTAAAGCAGATTGTGCTCTAACTAGACGTCTCGTGGTATTGCACTGGAGATGTTGGCGTTCAGACCAACGCTTTTTATTAGAACGGCACTCGTTAATCCTGGTGGTTTGGAATGGAGTTTGACGTAAGTCGCTTGTCCATAAGAAAAGAGTGTCGTCCGTAGCCGGACGACTCACTGCACGACTTACAACTCTATTTTTGATGCACTGCGCGAACGATTATGGTATTTGGCAATTTGTTCAAGGAGATTATAACCAGACCCACTCACTTCTGTTGTAGGCAGCTTCAATTTTACTTCTACGCTACCTAGCGGATCCTACAGAACCTCTTTTTGGCTAATTTTATTAAAGACTTCAGTGATAATTCAGAAATAATTATTAGTGTGTTTACAAACATAGATAAACAAAAACGCAAGTTCATGTGCTTGGTGAGGAAGGGACATATTATATTCAGTACATTGGTAAATAAGTTGGTATTATTTCTTGATAACCTAGTTTTTGCAAGTATGTTTGCTTATACCTAATGAAGAAAACTTCATATTACGTATTCACTGCATTTTTATTTGTTTACATTTTTTAATCTTAAATTTATGAAAATTCCTCATACTGCTTTTGCTTTATAAAGCACCATTGTGATGAGCCCGCTTAATCGCTTGAAATTGTTTATAATACTGTAAATGCTCGTCAGTGATTGCTAGGGTAATTTAATCGTAAGTTGGTCGTTCTAGTATATGCTAATGAAATTTCGATTTATATTTGTAGTATTTTCTTGTTTTTGATAATTATTTTATGATACTACTGTAATAAAAATTAAAATTCATTTCCTATTCAAATATTACTGTTATAACAACATTTGCAAATATATTATTTTTAATTTATATAGTTTTAACATGTTAAATATGTTAATTAAAAAGAAGTAAAAGTTATTTCATAGTTTTATTTTTAGTCTGTATTCAAAAACCATAACAATTCAGAACATAGAGTGATGGCGCTTTTAAAAGTCAAGCATTTGTAAATATTACGATAAACATAACCGTAATTAATCTTTTTAACATGTTAATGCAGCTATTAAAATTGTTATTTAAGTAGTTGTAATAAATGATTATGTAACACATGTATTAAACAGCTTGAATAAAGTGTTGTTCATACTGTTTGTCAGATGTCTAACTAATAGAGAAGATAGATTGAGAATAAAATCTATTTTTTGTCGGTCTTGTAAAATCGTAAAAATATGTCAAGTATGACTTATAGAGATTTAGACAAGATAAATTTATTTACAGTTAATGTTTGATTAAGTGGATAAATAGAATTGTATGAGTATTAAAGCTCTTAGAAAAATCATGTAAATTCTAAGTTAAGTGAATTTCAAATGTTGTGTTATGATAAATCATTTATTTACTGATTGAAATACAATAAATTTATTTGTTTAGTTTTAAGGGGGGTGGTAATCCTAGTTGAACAAAGCCCCACTAGTAAATATTTAGGGCTTCTACTTTGACAATCTACTGCGTACTTGCTATATACTTCTTGGGAGTTAAAATATTTTTCCGCACTCGGGTGGTTTTGGGAGGCTGGTACTTCCTCGGGCGAAAAAGCAGTTTTCCGGAACTCGTTCGAAAAGTCTCCTTTACGAACCTCGTTACGTCCCTCGCCTTCGGCTCGGGCCGCAAACCTCTCAGTTCGCAAACAAAGACTTTTCAAACTCGTAGGAAAACTACTATTATTATATAATGTTATATAACAAAATATTTTACCAGTACAGAAGTAACTTTTGGTGTAGTGGCATTAAGAAAGAAACAGACGTTATTCAGCCATTTACGCTAGCTATTTTTTATTTCAGGTCTGACAAGAACGCCGATGTACCCGTTCTCCGCGGGCCAATACCCCTATCCTATGCTCAGTCCAGAAATGACGCAAGTCGCCGCTTCCTGGTAAGTACAAATGGATTCAGCTCTACATACTTACTAATATATTAGTATAGGAATGCACTTATATATTAACTCTTGCGTATGATTTCGATCGTCTAGTATATGTACATCACCGCCACCTATATTGATGATTAGGTATGAAAACAGGTCCTACACAAAACGATACGACAGTGTATAATTAGTGTAATAAAACAGAAAAGCATTTTTTCTTATAGTAAACAATATGTGAATGGTTTTGAAGTATGTATTAAAAATTTTATGTCATTGTCTGGGCTACCTCTTTTTATAGAGTATTAAGGTACTCAAGTAAAACAGTAACAAACTATCAATGCATTAATCTTACACATAAAAACGTCGGTGATAAAAATTGCTTTTGTAATATTTCTTTCTAATTATAATAGTTAACGAACTAGAAATCAGTTGGCATTACCTGCTCTTAAAGTCGAGACATATTGAGAGTGCAGCTTTGTTTTAGAATGGCCAAGGCTTATTTTGAGACTGTTAACTTGCTGTGGCAACCAAATGGTAAGAATTGTCTAAGTCGTGAAAGAGTTTATGAGTAATGAAAATAATTTAAACTCAAATGAAGATATAAGAGGATAATAGTTATTAAAACTATACAAGTTATCTTAATGAAGTCAAACGATGTAGGACTAGGCATTCCTTACACAACTGAAAAACGTAAGATAAACGTCTGAAATTTCGTCTCTTTTGTGTGCAGAAAACAGTTTTTTGCCGTTTTCGTATCTAGTTTGCATTAAATCTGTAAAACGTTAGTATAGGTCAAAAATTTTTACTTTACTGTCATATACAACTATGTCTTTGAATGCTAAAGTATAGAATATATGTAAAGAACTTGTCGTGAAAACATGGTTAGTTGGTAGCCTCGAGGGTAGCCTTTAGTTAGAGTAGCTGCGCCTAACATGTTACATTTTATGACATAGAAACTACTGAAAATATCTAGCTCTCAAACGTGCGAAGCCTTATTTCCACAACTTTAAGTAGTTCACCTTTCCAATACTAAAAGTTTCATATTCACACTTTGCAGTGTAAGTACAGCCATCTCATGCATTATTCGAGGTGAGACGCGACTACTAGCGCCGAAGAGTCTGTACAAAAACAAAGGAAGTGGCCAAAGTTAAAATTGAAACCTGTCATATTTGACTTGTTAAAAAGAAAGAGTGCCAATTTAGCGACATTTTATAATGTGAAAAAGCGTCATGCGACAATAACACGTACTAAAACCTGTCCTACGGGTATCACCTCAAATAGTACAAATCAAACTACATGGAAGGTGAAAGAAATCAACTGATTTATAAAAACTCAGATTTTGTGTAAATTGAGGTATGTGAAACTACTCAGCACGTGTTTTGCCTTAAATTTTGAAAGGAAGCCGAGTTGAAGTCTGAATCTGACAGATTATTTGAAATTTACATTTTGCAAGAGTGTATCATGAGTTTCACAATGGTTTGCATTTAGTTAAATAAGTCAGCACCGTGCATTTAATATACCTTTGTACAATTTTTCTTTCAGCCACGTGTTTTGTCAGATTTTAGTAACCTATATGTGTAGAAATACAAAACGCACAGTGCTGACTCTGCTATCCCAATTAAAACTCATTCTTAAAATTCACGATGCACTCCCACAAAATAGAACTATTTCATACTCAGTTTTAGTTCTCAAATTTTTTTCCTGTAAAAATTAGAGGCAAAAACGTGCTTAATAATTATATTTAGCTTAATTGACACACTATCCACACTGTATTTATAGATCAGCTGATTGTTTCACTTTTCATATAGTCCAACTCGTGTTATGATCCACAAGACTACAAAATCTGTACTAGCAAGGTTAAATTAAAAAGTAACTTTTCAATAAATAACCTTTTTCTGTAAGGGAACTTACTGAGAAGGGGATCTATTTAAGTAATTCATATCTGCATCCCAGGAATAAATTTTTTTGATGATTCCTATAAAATGATGAGTGGCGTTGGATCACATTAATAATAGATTGTATAGAAAATATCACTTTGTATTATCAAAGAATATGATGTTCAAGAAGATCAAAAATCAAATGCTTTAAAATTAAATTTGTAAGTAATTCTTTTTCTGTCTTGTACAATGCAGATGTATTGTAAGTATTGCATTCAAACTTTAGATCAAAATACGTATCTTTATATTTGACCGGCTAAGCCTCTTCAATTTTCGAATTGTCATATTAAACATTATTCCTAGTAGTTATCTCGTTTTTCTAACAGGTGTATCAAAAATTTTTGAAGTTATTGTTGAGAGCATACATTTTGCGATGTGGTATTCAGACGAGCTTGTGCATAAGCATCTAGTATTACGATTTAATTTTTGGGAAAACATATGGATAGTCTCTCTTATATGTCAATATGTTGTAATGGACATAAAAAAAAGATTAGGATTTTGTTATAAACATCTGCTGAAACCTTTTTTTACTTAAATCTTCTTAAAAAAAATTAAGTAACTTTTAAGTATCTTGATTTTCCTGAGTCTATTTGACCCCCCTTCCCCCCCGTGTACAGTCTCATATTGAAATGAATAACACTTATTAGCTTTTTCAGGAAACTAACGTGCTTTTAATATGGTATTTGTTGGTGGAGACAATGGAAGTCAATGAAATTACGATGATATGCACTACTTTAATACATTTAGTCGTTTGTTTGACTGTCGAACATGTCAAAGCACTGGATACCTACATCGTTATTTACAAGATCTTACAAATTCCATTCTTTTTTACACGCTTTTCAAGAACATTTGATTTCTTTAGAGCATTTGATTTTCATTTACTATCATTGAATTTTTACAGTTAATTGCAAGAAAAATGATCACACATGTTTATTTCGTCTCGTCAACTTGATTATTATAAAACACGTTTGTTTCTATGAGATACAAATAAATTGTGTTAATGAAATACTACCATACCGTTGTTCCAAGATTTTACCCGTCCTTTGTGCTGCGATAGTTATCTTATGTAGTAAATCTCGTTCTACTTAACTTCTTTATCCATACAAACGTTTTATTGTAATAGTATTTAACTTTACCAATTCTCTTTATGATTGTTACAAAGAATTAAACGACTAAATTCATTAGACTTAAAAGATTGTCACTAGCAAAAGCTTCCTACAACTTTGTCAAAACTATCTCGGCCACATTAGCACCTGTACATAGATAACAAAGCATGTAATTAACAGAACTAACTTTGCAAGCACAGCATCAGCTAGCAACCTTTGACATTTTTGTAAGTATGGGCTTCGAGCGCAATCTTGAAACAGCACCTCCGTCTTTTTTCTTAAGAACGATGGTTTTGAAAAGAAAAGTACAGTGATAAATTTTATTGGGTGTGTTGACATTAACTATATGTATATATAAAATCTATTGGTAAAAGAAACTTATTTTCATCCAACATATAACTTAACCACTTATTCTAGAAGGTAACAGAACCACTGTTTTTCTAATGTATCCAAATAGCAAGAGCTACAAGAGTATATAAAGCAGACTTTTATTGCAATACAGAAACTTTCTTACTAGTAGATACTGGTGAATATAAATATAGATAAAATCATATTAAAACACATCGATAAAGATGGATAAGTTTTATTTTATTTTAAAAATATTTTTAGATTGAAACCTTACTTCTTGATTATTTCCGTACTGGCAGAATTTATTTGGATTTAGGGCTTTGCACATGACCATTTAAAATTTCTTGTTAAAGGTATGTTAGTTCTTAGAATTTTAGCTATTTTTTTTGTATCAGGTAAATGTTCTCTTCAAAGACGACTAAAATCGAAGTGAAAAAATTGATAAAATAAATATGGTACAGTTACGCAAATCTATAGTAAGACTTTCTTAAGAAACAATTATTTTAAATATCAATTTTGTGAAATCGAAGTAGTAATTGAAGTGATATATTGGTCTGCGTTGTTACAATTATCTATATCATTTTAAGAGTTGGTACATTACTTTACGAAGCTAAGATCTTAAAGTGTTTGTTATGATATCAAAAATTAAAAAATTGTTGATACAGTTATTAGTTTGAAGAAAGGATCTCAATAATAGATAGCAAGAAAATATATTTTTCTTATTTTTGAAATGATAGAAAATGCGGCAAAAGTTATTTTGTTCGGTTGTACATTAAAATTGAACAATGAAATAGAAAAATATTTGTAAATGTGAATCAAAACGAATTAAAAAATAATTAAAGCATGCAAAGTGCATCTAATCCAATTACTATGACTAAATTATTAAGTACAGATTGTGTTACATATATTTTTCACTTTCAGCTTAGTACTGTTTCAAGAATGCCCACTTTTTTTTTCAACAATATACATACATGTTATACTTAAAATATTGAATCCCTACACTGAGAAAAGGTTTTTTTTAGTAATTAACTTCATATGTTAATTATTAACTTACGTTTAATATGTATCCCGCGTGATGCTATCTGACGTGGCGCAGGTTCAACGTAAATATGGCATGTTAAATATTAACATGCCATCTGTGTCAGTTAAAATTTAGAAAATTGTATGAAATATATAAGCTTATTTTCTGATAACATACTTGCACGTTGACAATAAACAAATTCTTCTTTCAGTGTACGATGCACGATAGTTCAGGAAAGTTGAGTCATCATAAATAAATATATAATTTTTTCTGGAATATACAATGCTTTTTTCCGAAAAATTTAGTTCATGACTGTCAGTAGTGGTGCCACTTAAGATGTGCTTATAGTCTGTACAGAGGAGCAGAAGGTGGAAAAGGAAAAGAGGCGATTGTCCGGTAGTCATCCTCTTAGTTCCGGTCTATTAGACCGTGTATAAGCACTCGAGCAGACTCACTTAAGAGCTAACTGGCTAGTCAGTCCACCTACCCTTCCTTACACTCCCTATCTCGCTTACTCACTCAAGGCTATCGGTCAGCCCTCCTAGTGGACACTGGTTATTTGTTTTCTGTCTGCGCTCATCCCAAATAAAGATTTTTCATGGCTCATTAGACCCACTTTTCTTAGTTTGATACTCTTCTTACTCTGCGTAAATAAAGTGGTAAGCGAACGAGCGCGATAGAGAAGTGAGGAGAAGAAATACGTAGAAGATGTTATTTTGAACTTATAAGTGTAACAACTATACATAGTGCATAGAACGAATATTGCTGAATCAAAGCTAAATTTTGTATGTAGTGCCTTATGGGTTTTGGCGAATACTTATCAAGTCATTTTTATTTACAGGCACACGCCAAGTATGTACCCGATCTCTCCAGCGAGCGCTGGATTCCGCAGTCCCTACCCCACGAGTTTACCCATCAGTAGTTCAAGTTTACCCAGGTAAGTCCAAATTATTTTTATTGTAAACCACGAGCCAATGGCCTAATTTCACTGACATGGCTTTTTGTTCATATATAATTATAGATACAGAATTTTTTATTCAATTTTTACGTAATAAGTATATTTCAATTAAACGGACAAGATTAATAGTTCTCTTCAAAACTGAATGAATCCAGCGTTTAATGGATTTAATAAATTGTAAAAATGTGATGAAAATGTGTAATCATCGTTTAACAATACAAGTTTTGGTTATACATTTTTTTTGTTACAAAATAAAGGAGGAGCAAAAACATGTTTTCGACCTATATATCTTTAAAAATAATTGTTAGAAAACTCTTTTCATTGACAGTGGTAATAATAAAAAGATGCGATGTAAGTTTTTCTAATCACAATGCATTTGTTTATAGCTTTCGTTCATTCACTTATGCACGCACCAATGCATTATTTAATTTTATTAAGTGTAACGATGATTCACTTGATAAGTGTTTTTTTTATGCTAGGAGATGGAAGTTTTTATTTGTCCAGTATGTGGTAATGGCAACGGAAAAAATGTACCCTTTTTTTCGATCGTCCATTACGTTAAATGAAAAATATTGCAGCACAAACCATAGCTTTTTAAAAAAAAATGGCAAAACAGTAAAAATTACTTCTGGCACCAAAACTCATTTGTAGTTTTTCGTTAAGAATTCTGTCAATCTACTTGTTAGCTAATGTTTAATCGACTAATTGAGCAACTAATCAAGGTTCCAGATCGTACTCAAATTATCTGCAACAAAAATTGTTTTTTTGTTAATAATGATTTGTTTTCAGCACATTACATATTATATCAAGAATAATAATTAAATGTGGGTGAACTTTTTTCAACCACTAGCATAATTATTGCCATGAAATTTCTACGATTAACGGAATACTTTTGTAACCTCAAGTCGTTTCTTAATATATACATTCACATGTACCTCAGGATGCCGAGTTTTAAAATGTTCTCCTATAGGCTGAAAGAATCATCCGAAAGAATTCTATAAAACTTATAAAAGCACATACAAAATTTAGCTGGTGAAATTAAAGCATTTAATATAATTTACAAAAAATAAAACCTTGAAGAATATTAGATAATATGCCAAAAAATGGTAAAAATGTCAAAAATAGACTTTTTTCTTCCTGAATAAAAACAAAAGATATGAATAAAAACAGGCGAAAAAAGAATATGTGTATCCAAGACAGAAGCAAGAAGTTGTGTTAAGACGAAATTAGTGGAGCCGTTCTTTCGCAAGCTACAAAAAACCGCGTTTTTGCTGTTTTTTTAAAATTCATAACACCTGTTCCTATAACGAGTAAAGGTTAAAATTTTCACAGAATATTGGTTTAGAAACTTCATCTATATTTAAGAACCGTAACTATATTTGCACAAGTTAGATTTTAGAATACAATTTTTTTCAGTTCTTACATACCATCGCTTTTTTAAAAAAGATAATTTTTTTCAAAACGACCCTGAGAAAGTTGTTAGCCAAAGCCTACGTATTGTAATGTTTTTGATAGATTTTGATTTTTGAATAGTTGAACTAACATCTACTAACTTTGAATATCCATCAGTTTTATACAAGTGGTCTAAGTATTATTTTAAAGTTCGTGTATTTTCTCACTTGACGTGAGCTACCAGAAGAGGCAACATCTCCTTTCTTGCGCTTTGTCCTCAGTACTTCCAAGCGAGTGAGAAAATACACTGATTTTTCAATAACATTTAGGTCACTTACAAAAAACTAAAGGGGAACAAAAATTAAGTAATTGGTAGTTCAAGAAAAATCGATACCTGTCAAAAATATGGTGATACTTTGGCTAACAACTTTTTTAAGAGCTGTTTTACAAAAGGGTTCTCTTTTTGATAAAGTGACAATTGCTAAACCTAAGAAAAAATTTGGCTCTAGAATTTGAGCATCTTACTGTTATATCAAGAGAAAGCGTTTGTTTGTGTGTTCTCCAAATCTCAAAAGGGTTCTCTTTTTGATAAAGTGACGATTGCTAAACCTAAGAAAAAATTTGGCTCTAGAATTTGAGCATCTTACTGTTATATCAAGAGAAAGCGTTTGTTTGTGTGTTCTCCAAATCTCAAAAGGTATTGAACCAACTGATACCCAATTTTAACAGAAGATTAATTACAAGTTCTAATGTATCATATACTACTACAATTAGCAGTTACTTTGATGAAAAAAGTTTTTGTGCTACTTACAAAAAACTAATTGCAAAACAGCTTGGCAAGGGATTTTTACCTTTTAACTGCTGGAGGGCCAGTAGTTATGTTTTTCAATGTTAGTTAACGTCAAGTGAGCCACACCTGGGTATTATTTGATCTTATAACTCTATCCTAAGCTGTACCCAGGATAAATAATTTTGTGTAAATACAGGAAAAAATTTCTCATTTATTGAGTTGGTCCAATGCCCTAATTCTTGGTCACTGTAGAAAAAACTTGTCCCTATATTCGAAACTTTAAGTTCCAATAACTGTCCAGTCATATAAATTGTACACAATTAATATTGGCCACTCGATCGGAAATCGTACCTTGGCTGTAACGGGGGCCTAGCTAGTAGTGCATTATGACTAGCTAGGACCCCATTACAGCCACGGTACGATTTCTGATCGGGCAGTTATTAGAACGCACCAAAAGTGAGGTTACGTTGAAGGTGTCCCAAAGCCTGGCCAGCCGATGAAAGTCACTTTCTAGAAACACTTTTTTTTTAACTTTTGGATTAAAATATCATCAAGATAACTTATAACAATGAAGCTTATGCAATTTCTAAGCGCGAATAAGTATTGAAAAAAATATTTTTCACAGCTGCAGAAATTTATGCGAAACCTTGAATTGTAATTGTATCCAGGTTTTATGATCAATTTTTTATTGGCCGAGCATTGGTACACTTACCTTGATATCAGTGTAGTGTTTGATTGTCTGTTCGCAAAAGATTTTAAAATATAACCGATCCAGTCCTTTCACAATTTGATAGAAGATTAACAGCAATATTTAAATGTTTGCAATGGTTCATACAAATATTTACCAAGAACAGTTATTTTTCTGCATATATCCAAAATTAAATGTTATTTATAGAGTAATTAAAAATCACAACTTACAATCAGTTGACATAGCCGAAGTATCATTATGTATATTCACTGTTGGTAATGCTTTTTCTTGTACTAGCCTACGGAAAAGCACTTTTTCTACTTTAAACGTCATTGATATTGCGATCAAAAAGTGATTATAAGTTTCCAACAGTCACTTAGCTTCCAAATTTATTCACTGACCTCACACTTAAAGATTAAATCTCTATAGACTGCTTTATTTGACCGTATCTTTTACTTTTGGTCAAGTGTCTATGAGAAGTTAATAAACTAGGAGGATAAGGTTATGAGATCTTGGCATGATGCAGAACAATGCATGTCATACACTTGAAGAGTAGTATTAATACGTGATCTCAAAAATTCTCGAGATCTTTTTCTATGCTTTGGGTTTAATTTTGATTCTAATAGATTGTGATCTATGTGTGTTCTTTAACATTCCCATGGTAATTTGAATTCTTCGATGAACGTTACGAATCGTATATTGTATATCAAATTATAAAATTTTAACATAAATAAAAAAAAAATTTTTCAAACATTCAAGAACAGAAAGAGGGTGATGTGATGAAAGATACTTTGTTGTGCAAAATTGTGTGTTGAAATTATTAAAAATGTATTGGAGTGTTGCAAAAAGATATACTTTGACATAAAGAAGAACAAATATTTTAAACAACATTTTATCGAAAGTGGGAAAATTGCTCGGAAGTTGCTAATGGGTAATAAAAAAAACTGTCAAAATTTCTAACTTTAATAAAATTGTAGTTATAATACTGCTACATGAAAGTTTCGTAAAATTTTACCAGTAGCTTGAACCAATTGAACAGCTTGAAATCTTTTTATTGTAAATCGAATGCCAAAAAAAATTGACATCTTGAGACGTTGTTTCAGATGAAACCAAGTTCATGTTTTGACAAGCCCGGATGATTAGTAATAAGATGCTAAGTGCTGGGATAACTGTTGTTATTACAATACATAAAATGTTGTTTTTTTGACAACAAAATTTTTTATGACATTTTTACCATTTTTATTAGTAGATCTTCTGATACTTTCAGAGGTATCATTTTTGGGGAATCAATTTCAAAAACCTTGATATCAATGATAACATTTTTTCTTTGCCAATAAAGATATATCAACAAAAACCGTCGTTCTATTCTATTACCGCGCTCAGAGTAATCCTGTTGTGCAGGACTATTCCACAAAAAATCATGAATTTAATTATCTATTACAAGAATTTCGTTTATGCAAGAATTGTGATCAGACTTACTTACATTAATTTTCAGTTGTAAATTACTACACATGTCATGGAGGAAAATTGTTGCTACAACTTACAACAAATGAGAATGGTAGTTTTTTACAAACCGTGGATTTTGACCCTAACTAGCATTTGTTTTCTAACTTAACAGTGTCAATTTAGAGCTATAGATGCTACAAACACAGTTAAGAGTTCACCAACCCTTGTCACCTTAATTACGTATTTTAAGCGGTACATTGTCAATGAATTTTTACATATCTAACAACTAATACCTCTCCCCAAAGCAGAGGCTTTTTTTGAAGAATTAAAAAATGTTAGCTCCAGCCTACATTTATCAAAATCGACATTTAGTAAAACACAAATAATCAGTATTGACATTAGTAATGGAAAAAAAAGTAAGAACAAATTAGAATAACAACTGTAATTATATGAATAAATAAAATAATAATAATATATTGGTATGTTGCAGTGATCTCTACCGGTTTTCACCCACAAGCCTTATGCCTCCTCACCCTGGTTTGAGTCCCCACGCACACGCACTGGCATCACACGCTCTGGTCTCCTCCGCTCCCAAGGCGGATCACTCTACCTTGGATCACAATCACAGGTGAGACAAGACTCGATAAAAGAGAAAGAGAAAAATCAACGGCCTTATACACACACACGCACATACACACACCTCTTCGTTTATACTCGAGGAATCATCCTTCCTTAGCTCATCATCCTTTATTTTATAGCTTACATTCTTCATATTTCATTCTCTCTGCTCCTTGCCAAGGTACCACTTTGCCCTCTCACCACTTTGTTTTCTTTTCTCTTCTATTTCTCCTTTACCTACATGCTTATCTCGTGCTGGCTTCGCCCTGTGGACTCAAATCACACATGTCACGATGTTATATCAAATACTTGTGTCTTTGCTGACCTTGTAGCTCACTCTTACTCTCACATACTTATCCTCTCTCTTTCTCCAATTTTATTGTTTATCCTCCTTAGGCTTTACTAATGCCGTAATCATTCCCTTGATATTGTTTGAATTGGTCCCCTAGTTCACCTGCTGATAATGAGATCGTAGCATTTTTATTTCATACCTCCATATAGGCTAACTAGAATCTGAAAACTTAAGAAATAATGAATTATGAATGAAAATATTGAAAACAATCGAATCTTTAGTGATCACAAATTCACCAGACACATTAGTTGATGTAAGAATGCTCCTGATACCTTTAACTTAAATAAAATTATGAAGAAAGTATACTAAATGGACGTATATGAAAAGTCTTGTTTGAATGTTTTATTTACATCGTAGTTTATGTTAATGGCAATTCGAAAATTGTAGACATATTTAAATGCTTTCACGTATTCACGCTTTTTTCATGATAAATGCTACCTCCAATATTCATGCATCATTCGTAAAAACTTGCATGATACGAATAAACACTGAGCAAAGTAGATTGTTGTTATTTCGTAATTAAAAAGTTTATTTTAAACAACAAAAAAAGACAAAATATTGGGTTTGAGTACAGGGTGTACATGAATTATTGTCAACCTTGAAAAATAAATTGCAATGTAACATTCAACAGCTTTTTATCCTTAAATAATTTTGATAGTTTTCAGAGATACATTTCTCGATTTGTTGATGACAAGCAATAATCATTCATGATTAATTATTAAAAAACAGTTTGACTGTTTTCACGCAGAGATACTCAACATGTGTTTACGTTGTCTTTCTCAGAAATGACCCTTGATTACACAAAAACCGAGCTAATGGTTGAGCTGTAGTCCTTTTCTCTGATATCAACCAAATCCTCACTAACCACATTATTATGAACAAAATCTTTGAGACAACAATGATAAGTAGTAGACAACTAAGATGAAAGAGACAGAGGATGGATAACAGACCAGCAATGGGCCTCAGCATGATTACAAACATCATCCGTCGGTAAGCCATGGATGTCAGATGTCTTGCAACCCCTGGGTCAATCAGGTTAGCGGCTGGGATCACCCCATTCTGTCCCTCTGAAGAACGGTAAAAGAGGAAACTACCCGGTTAGCGGTGTGCAAGCCAACCCTCCACCGGTAGGAGCAAGCAGTTTAGGGATGCGTCTACCGACCGCAGGATCACGCATAATTCAACGGTGGCTGTAGGAGTACAGTTTCAAGGCCAACCACTCGAGGGTAGCACGTGGCTCGTCCGATGCTTAAAAGACAGACGTCTCGTGGATACTCCAAGCCAAGCCATCGGATAGAGACGAATGGTGAGACAGACCTCGGACGTTGAGACAAAAGTCGCAGGGGCCTCGCACGCTCTGTGGAGCATCAACGACCCCATAACTTTGACTATTCGGTGTGATCGAATAGTAGAAGGCGTCTGCGCCGGTGCCTGTTCACCTTTTACCTCTCCCTTTGACTATCCTCTACTCTGTCTGTCGACAGTTATTGATCATTACTCCTTCCAAACCGATCCCCAATTTGCATTAGCCTCTGCAAACTTTGAGACCGTACGATTTTTTATTCAGTTAAAGGCTGTCATTAACTTTTCCAGCCGGGTTCAGTGCGTATAGCCAACGAATGTAGAAGCGTCTATGTTCATTGGTGTAATTTATCATCGGAAACAGTACATCTCAGAGAAAGCCTATCTATTCACCTCGAGGGAATCCAGCAGTTGGACACCACCAGTACCTGCTGCACATAACCAGCACCACGTGATTAGTAAAAAAACGGCAGCTTACTACCTAGTGATGCATTGGGGAAAATCCATCCAATGATGACTACGATTAAAAGGCAATGGGAAAAACTAGGGCTGCAACTACAGCTGCTGCTGTTTCAGACACTAAGCCGCGGGAAGGCAGGGGGGTGCTATGAATCGCAATGATTTGTCCGTTGTTGCCCACTACCGTGGGATAATCAGTCGAAACATTGTACTGCGCACTGTTACCGTATACGTATGGATAATTGTATACAATATTGGGTATGCAGCTGTGGCATAACACCCTTGGATCGAGGGCAATGAATCGCCACTCATGCACCACAGACCTGAGGCGGATGCAATCTTAATGGATTCTTACCTAGACAATCAGCTGGACGTGGGTGTACAGCATAGTAAGCACATTACTTTAAAAACAAGCCATAATCATCAGGGACACCCAAGTATCATTCAGCACCAAGAAGGACTTTTACGTCTAGAAGTGAAGCGTGAAGCCTCAGGAGGTACCCTTCCGTGTACTAGCCATAATACTTGTCTGTGAGACAGAAAATGAGATGTCATAGGGAAGAGTAAGAGAAAAAGACAGAGACAACAGATAGAGAAATATATAGATATATGTTATATATCTTCAGATACATGTATATAAATGTATGTAGACAGAGGACAACACTATATAATGAGCTCAGCCCGCTTCGGATGATACTCGCCATCAAATAAAGGACAAATCGGGGAGATGATATTATTGAGCCAGTCCTGTCTAGTCAAATCAAGGATTAAGGTGAAGTGCCACATCCCAAACAGTGTAAAGGTGCGGTGTGAATGACGGGACTCTATACTCACGGTGGTGATGGAGCCCGAGTGCTACGAGCCATTAAATCTAGTCATAAAGAAGGTTGATGTGAGCGCCGAATCCGAGACAGTAGCCATTAGCAGCATAGACAGTGTAAACCAAGTGAGCACAAATCCAGAAAAAAAGTCTTTGGAGCAGGACAGCATCAGCATCACAGAGTTGGAGTCGAAAACTGAGGACAACATGACCATACTTCTGCAGGACTCCATAAAGTGCGTCGGCGAGTCGGGATCGCCTGTTGCAGATCAAAAGTTTCTCACTGCTCTCTACATGAGCAGTTTGATGCAAATGTCAAACGCGTCGTCGATCCTACAAAGGAATCCTGTGTCCTCCTCGCTGACTCCTTACAACGCGCAGCAAAACTTTATGCAGTTGCTTGCCATGGTAGAAGCTAGGCACAGAATGTGGCAACAACTCAGCTGGCCTGTACCTCCGAATTTTCTTCGGGCATCGGCTGCTACTGCTGCTGGAGGATTGCCTCAACCTTTTTACGATACCGGCACTCAACCGAACGCTATTATAGAACAGCTGTGCAATTCACCCAGCTCCTTGCTTTCGTATCCTTTGCCCTCCGCAAAACACGAACAATCTAGTCACGATACCAAAGACACGCTCTACAAACGGTATTCCATCACTTAAAAATTATTATTTAATAAATTTCCAACCACGTTGAACACAACTGAACGTCTTCATTCTCAAATTTAAACGTCATTTTGTTTCCAGGTCTTCGATAGAACAAAAAAATTCGTCATCGTTACCTGCAGACAACACAAAGAATCAGGACACTGGACAACAAAACAATCAAGGTAACTACAACGTAGGTTTAGTAAGTATTACCAACCACACCACTTTGAAACTTATTTGACTCACTTTTTACTAACCTGCTTTTTTACAATTTGCTCCCACGTTTTAGTAACTTATTGTCAACATAATTTTTTGCAAATCTTGAAGTTACAGAGGGTGTGTGTGATTATCGATGGGACCACTTGCTAGTGGGCGTGGAATGACTATTTGAATTGTTGTAAATTGGGTACAAATGGTCTTGGGTGGGATAATCAAAATTTTTTTTTTTCATTTATCATGTACAGTTGTTTAGTTGTACTTACTTGTGCGGCTAAATTTTACCAACAAAAATGGTTTTTATAGTGTGTCGTAAATTTATGTAACTAATCTCAATTTTTGTTTTCCACAGAAAAAAAGAAACCCCACATAAAGAAGCCTTTAAATGCATTTATGTTATACATGAAAGAAATGAGGGCAAAAGTAGTGGCAGAATGTACCTTGAAAGAAAGTGCTGCGATAAATCAAATCTTGGGAAGAAGGGTGAGTTATTCCAAGCTTATCGAATGAAATTTACTTTCTACGTCGAGGCATCGAGAGTAAAATTTTTTTTTTAAACATACTTATCGACATAGTTAAAACATTAGCCTTGATGTAAATGCGACATTCAGCTTTGAAACGATGTGTTCCTTTTAATTTCCAGAGGTTAATAAAAACAACCTAAAATTGTCAAAATATTACAAAGTACATGAATAATGATTAAAATAACACCTTGTTTCAAAGTAAAAGCTCATTTATTAAGCTATCAATTTCACAAGCTTATAATTGAAAATTAAAAAGTATGTGGTAAAATGTTTTACTGTTAAAAAAAGAGTGAGATAGTAAATGCAAATATACTTGAATATGAAATCTAGGTAAAGCAGTGAAATAAAGACGGGGAATCTTAGATGGTTCAAAAGAATTTGAAAAATATTAAAAAATAAGTGGATGAGCAAAACTAAAGAAACATATGAAAGGGGGCAAAGGAGGTATGGTCTGGCACCAGTAGCATCTATAAATATTTGAAAATTCTAAAGATTTTATTGAGAACTGTGAAAGAGACACGCTTCACTTGAGTAAAAAATTGAATCTATTTGGGAATATGTGTATTCAGTGGCATTCACTAAGTCGAGAGGAACAGCAACGGTATTATGAGGCGGCTAGACACGAACGCCAACTGCACCAGCAGCGCTATCCTGGCTGGAGCGCTAGGGATAACTATGGATACGGCAGCAAGAAGAAGAAGCGGAAGAAAGAGCGATCCGCGGATCCCATCGGAGGTACCACTTTCCAGTGCTAGAACAGCAGGCCTTTAACTCTCATGCATATCATATAACATAAATATATAAATTTGTTTGGCTATATTTACGACTAAGTACTAATTACTTTATAGTTTCACCTAGTGTTGATTGGATTGAAACGATCAAAGTCTCTGTGCGTTGTTTCTCTTGTCGTTGTTTCACTTCTTTGTTTCTCTTTACTCTTTCTATACTTAATTGATGACGGCATACATCAACTACATGCTGAGCTGACTATTCTACTTAAGAATATTATGAGAAATTTAATCATTTTTCTACTGACGTTACAACTGACGTTTTGATTTTTTGCATTACAGTATTATTCAACTAATAATCCCTTTTATCTTATGTTCATTCCTAGATGAGAAATTCCATAATGTCCATGTACCAAATGATTTCTTGAGGAATGTGTAAGATTAGGTAAAAAAACAACAGGCTTGGATTGTCTATTCTTAAATTTGGTGGATCACTCAAAGCATTTATGTATATATATATATATGTATGTATAAATATAATTCCACCTGTTACTCCGCATCTACTCTAATTCCGCAGCAAAACTAATAATACAATTGCAAATCTGGCCAACTCCCTAAAGCGGTATTCGTCGAGTCAATTGATGTAAACGTGTAATAATAAATTATAATGAGCTATCAGCCACGCGTCACAAGTGCAATCATAATTTTTTCGCTGCAGTTTGGTAATTGCACATACAATATCTGTTATTGCATCTAAAGAGACCTTTTTTTTATCCATATGATAAGTAACATAAATAACGTGGTTTGTGTGTCTCTTTGCACTGCAATACTGAATTGTGCAAGTCAAATGTAATATGTTTCAAAAATAACTCAACAGTTTACGAGTTCTAGAACTTTAATGCTTGTAAATATAGTGTCAAAGTTTTTTTTAAGTGTACAAATGTGTACGTGATAATTACACTCTTGTACGCATTTTCTCATGTCGTTAGTCAATACAAGTATTACTATATCCTTAACAACCACGATAACTACTATGACAATCACTAGTACGGCTTCTACTTTAACTATCATTGTTGTTACATGTATACATGGGAGAAAGTATTGAAAAAAGGGCAGGAGATCAAACGATCGTAATTACTTTAATTTATATTTCGACGAATGTTGACTAGCTTTGCCACTGTTACTTTTTTTAGTGGCAGACATGGCTGTCAAGCCAAACGTGTACGAATAGCTGAAAATTGCGCGAAATTTGTAGGAATTCAAAAAATCCTAGCAAAACCTCTTGGTTCTTCTTTTACCAGATTTTTGTTCAGATCCATTATCCAGGAAATAAATCACTACTCAATAAAATACTCGCGTACTGTGATTATAATGTTGTAGAAATAAACTATCAGAGCAATTATTGACCGCGATAAAACGCGCCACTGGCATTAACTTAGGCTGTTCTTCTAGCACATAAAACGGAAAGTAGGGACCTCAGTGCCTTCGCAATACTCTTTTTAAATCTCACTTTTCAACACCTGTAATGCTAAGTGCAGACGATCTATTAGTACAGTCAAATGCGTACAGTGAATATACTTGATAAGGAAAAACTTACGTTTGTGCTTATACAACCAAAAATAATATAATTCAGAGATGATGGCAATAAATACAGCTTTAAGTTATATAGAAATAGCATTTACAAAGACTATCATTTACATAAGCATTTGGCGTCAGTGATAGTAATTTTAGTTAAATTTTTAGTCTTGATTGCCTTGATTGTTATAAAGATTATAGAAAATAAGAGAAAGAAAGAAAAAAATTTTTTGCTTGGAATTGCTCTTTGGAACGAGTGTTTTTTATTAAAACTTGTGTATCTCTCTCTCTCCCGGTAGTGGCACGCGCTAGGGCGAGATGAACAGGCCAAGTATTACGAATTGGCACGACGAGAAAGACAGCTGCACATGCAGCTGTATCCCGACTGGTCTTCCCGCGCAAATACCAACCGCACTAAGAAGAGGAAGCGCAAACAAGACACTAACAGTGATCCTGGAGGTACTCGCAATGCCTCGCTCCACACGTTCTTTTCTTTTTTTTACTCACTCTTACACGGCTCTTTTTGTTTACGTCTTGATCCACCATTTTCCTGTCAAATGCCTGGAATATTCCTCTATGCCATTGTCATTCTACATTGTGCCCAACAAGGCACCCTTACAGAGAAAATAAATTTAGACACTTTTGGTTGCAAAACTGTGGTAATATTCCGCGACAAATTTTTTTACATATTTGCATTGTCCTACATTTCAGTTGTCTTTCAACAGTATCTCACATTGATAGTAATAGTACAGGTAAAAGTACCTATTATGGAAAAAGTTGAAGGTGATGTAAAAAATTAAAATTACAAGAAAGTTCATAGTAAAAGTATTATTTTATCTTCTAGGGCGTGATTTACATAATTATGTAATCAGCTTCTTACTCTTGGGTGTATCTGTTTCCATAATATATGTCCCTATTATGAACTGACCATCAGACAAGGGGTAATAATTTGATTTGCATCTAGTACTTTTACTTTGCTTTAATTACATTACTTTTATCCTGAATAACCAAGAACGAAAACAGTTCATGATAAAAACGATAAAAAAGTAAAGTTATCAAAATTTTGGTCCCTATCATGAATATGCTACGAAGGAAAAAAATTGTTTTCCTTTGTGATTAATTCATTCTTAAACATAGTATTTTTGTATGTTGGCAGAGTTTACATGCAATAAATTTAAAATAAATTTTACGCTTACTATGATGACAGTCAACAACAGTTATTACGATATTTTACAATAATGATACGTTCCACAAATAGGTACTTTTATCATAGCACTTCTCTCAGAAACCAATCGAACTGTAAAATTTGAGGCGTTGTTCTTATCAAAAATATTTTGTAAAAAAAACCGGTAAGTAGGTGATGCATTTTTCTTCAATTTTTTTGAGTTATGTGAGTAGGAGCTACACACTTTTTTAGTTATCACTCTACCTTTCGCAATATTTTATGGTAGGAGAGAAGCAAATACCATTTTAACTATTGAATTCAAATGATACATTTTTATATATGTATACATAATTTTGATGAAAATAAATCTAGATAACGCCAACGGTTGAAAAATTTTTGCGGAATCTTTCAACCACGTGGCGTTGCAACTTCACCGCAGTTCTTGCGACAAAAGTTTCTGTAATTTCTTTTTCCAAGAACTGAATTATCATTATATTCGTCCTGCCTGTTCCCAGCTCAACTTGATGTATTATATACTGTTATTATTATATCGATATATTGATTTCTTCTTTTCTTAATTCATAAGATTTAATATTTTTTTTAATGCATTTATATACACAATCATGTATACACTAGCATTATAATTATTTCTACTTGAAACTGTTACGCTTTATACATTATGTTGCATGTTTTCCCCCATTTGGGGCTTTGGGTCGATTTAAATATTTATTATTCTTTATTTTTGTATTCTACATATTAAACCTACATACATGTATGTCAATATTGCACATAATAAGCCATGAATGCATATATACATACCGTGCGTGAGCGTGTCCAAGTCTACGCATACATGTCAAACAATTACTCGGATAATATCGTATATGCATATAATAAACAGTATATAAATGTTAACGTCTCTTGACGATGATTTCAACAGAATTGATACACAACACGTGCACGCACGCGCACATGCATATTATTCTACATTTATTATATTAATCATACTATACGTATACAACTTTGGGGACGCTGGCCATCTTGCATTTCACAGGGACCTACTCCAAGCAAATCAGACAATCCTAAAGCGTTTGATTTTTCTCTTAGTGTATTTTATCTTGTATTTTTTTCATTTACTTTATTTTTACTTCTATTCTCACTGACACATCTGACTTCTCTTACTTTACTTCAATGTTTTCTTTTCTTGCTTTTATAAATTTTACTCAATCTTTACTTTGAACATCTATTCAATATTTTCTTTATCCTACAACTACATGTTTCTGTATTTCGTTTATCGAAATTATTATTGATATTATTATTGTTTTTATCATTATAATTATTATTGTTATTCTTATTATTTTTATTATTATATTTATTATTGGTATCGCTACAAAAATGGTACGCTCCTTAAAAATCTTACAATAAATAAATTTTTCTTTGATCGTTTCAATATTGCTTGTTTTCTCCTGAAATGTTGGTTTCCTTATGGACATTTATAAGTTTTTATTCTGTTTTGTTCTAAAATCCATGAGGCTTATAACTATTTGAGATTCTTAAATTATTTAATTAGTATTTTCAACTACATTTTATTTTGCAATTGCACTCAATGATACTCAAAGCTTAGTCCCCAATAACAAATAATAATCAGATTTATATACAGAAGCTTGTGTTTTCTAGATGTTTTCTATTATTATTAGTATTATTACATGCTTAAAAATTTTTTTATAACGATTTTTCATTGGCTCCAAAGAAATTGTTAACTAAGAAGGAAAGTTCCTTAACTAATATTCACGAAAAAAAAATGCAATTAGGGATTCAATGATATAAAAAATATTTAGTAAATGTCATATACTGTGTCAATTTTATAGAGACATTGATTGACTCAAACTTTAGTATTTAAAAATTTATTGTTGATTTTATGCCTAAGCAACGGTTTTAAAAGTAAAACTTTCCTAGTTCCATCACATTTATTAACAAAATAAAAATGATGGTAATTCTAGTTTATAATGTCTTTGGAACACTGTTTGGAAAATTTTCTGCACGATTAATTTTTATTTTTGCTTCGTTGTACAGTTATTCATTATCACAAGCAACGCTCTACTTTTTTTTGTTGAAAAATCTATGCATTAAATAATTGTATGATATTGGCAGCTCAGGGAGACGAAGTGCGCTATTTGAAATCAGCTGGAAGAATTACATTATTTAATAAGAGTTTTTCATGATATAAATATACATAAAACTATCTCTCATGATGAACATCTACTTTTGTA